GGGTGGAGCGTGCTGTGCCCCACTTCAACTTCTCATGTCTGTGCTTCTGTGCAGCAGAAGGCCGCCCAACGATACTATGCTGCATGTATCTAGAGGGATGCGATGGAAACGTTTACATCATCTGTTAAACTCCACAAATCAGTCGAGATACCAAGCAGTCGTGCAGGCCTCGCCTTGCACAGCCGTGCAGCAGCTGCGAGAGCAGTTGCAGGCTTTTGAGGTGCATGGGACGGCGCGACCAAGGTTGAGGGCTGGGGTTCTGAGAGTTGGTCTGGGCACGGCTCGTGTTCACCACAGTTCTACGCCCCTGCTACATCCGTGTCCGTATCGGCCGAGATCACCGGGTTGTCGTTCTTCAGTGCTTGGGGTCCATGGGAGGCCGGGCGGTTGGAAGCCGCTCCTCTACTCACCTTGGAGCGGAAGCAGGCACTGGAGGCTCAAAGACTGGGGATGCGAAGTCTAACCAACCGGGCAAGTTGTTCTGATTTCTGAGTCCCTGGTAATTTCTTTCGGTTTCTTGGCCCTCGCACCAGATCTGGGTCACCTGCAGAGACATCGACATCTGTCCGAACAACTCCTGCACTCTAACGGTTTGCCCAAATCTCCGCAGCACAATGTCCTAGCCCCCGGCACCCTTGCAACTCGCAGCCAACCCCCGTGTGCCCTGAATGCATTTTCACGGATCACGGGATGTACCTTGGCGCGACAGGCCGCATGGCCACGTGACGAGACAGATGCAAGGACCGTCCAAAGCTCGTACAGTGATTTGTCGCCTCGTGCTTTCCGCGGTTTCTACGAAGCGCTGAAAACAGATGCGTGCTGGATCTCGAAGCCTCGCAAGTGCAAGCCAAGCACAGCTTGAGGATTCCTCTGTCAGTTGACGAGGCCAGCAACGAACACTGGGAAGCGGGCTTCATTGTCGCGGATTGTTCGAGAGCGTTCACTAAGTGAGCTTTCCGACCCTGGTGTGTGCAACAGCTAGTTCATAGTCATTGCCTCAAAGCTTCAATGCTTGCAGTGGGAGGTCCGACATGCGAGCGAAACTGCCAGTGAGTCGTCACTGTGTAAGCTGAAATCTTGGGTTGATAGACAGTCCAGGCCTACAGCCTCCTCTTCAAGGATGCAGATCCTCGGCTGCAGGGATTGCGCTCGTCGCATGGAAGCGGCGCATCAGACTCGAACTTCCCAATTACAAACTAAAGAAAGAGGCCCGCTCGCCTTTTCCAGCCGGTGCAGCTTTACGAACGCAGCCCATATCGTTTGAGGCACAGGGGGAATGAAGCTTGATTCGGAATCGCTCGGATCGGCATTGCCTAGGAAAAGCGGGAGTACGCCAAGGCCGACTTCCAAAGTGTTCCCGGCTTGCAGAAGGGCTTGGACAGGGCATTTTGCCTTCTGCCTCTGATCAATCCGCAACTGGTCTTGACACGGCAAGCTCGGAGGCTTGTAACCTGCACGTCAGCAGTCACCCAGCCCAGGACCTGTCGGATTTCCGCACGACGTCTCGAGCGGATGCACCCGTAGGGCTGGAAGAAGCTTTCGAGTTTCTCCAGAAAATGCAGTGAGCCACTGCCACAAGTCTTTGATGTGACTGGAAGTCTTGACGGCCGAAACCTGCGAGACTCAAAAGGACACTGTCGTATCCGCGATGTTGACCGCCTCGTCTGCTTTGACGGTTCAGCTACCGCTCTCTGTTCCTACACAAAGTTCAAGTCTCAAAACCTGCCGCCCGACAGGCTGTGGCGGCCACGCTCCAGCTCGTGGAAAAGCTTGAGACGCTGCTCCGCAAGGCCATGCACGGCCTCAATTTGAAAGCTTGGGTCCGTCTCTGAAGTCGCCGGCAACTTCTTTCTGGATGAGCTGACCATTTCAGGAGTCGCAGACGGCTGAGAAGGGTGCCAGGCCCGGTGGAGATTTTTGAATGCGGGGCTTTAAGCTAATTACATTACCTCTTCAGTTGCATGAAGCCCAGCCCAACACATTTCGAGCAGCATGGAAGTATCTCCTTAGCCCAACCCGCCCAGCAAGACCCCAAGCAGACTGTCGTGTCAGGGGCTCTGGCGTCAACATTCCTGTGGGGACCAAGCCAGCCGGGTGCCCATTCTGCGGGGCATTCCTTGCAGTGCTGCAGGCACCTTGCTTGGAGGTTGCTTGGTGACATCTATGGCCGTAGCTGGTGGCACAGGAATCCGTGCCTTCTGAAGCCGACCGTGTGTGTGCCTTGTGTGGATTTGTTTTCGCGTTCTTGAGACCATGAAAATCATGAGATTCAAGCGTTGAGTTGGAATTCAGGTCGATCTGGAGAGCACAAAAAAAGTGCGACTGTGCGCAGTGGGTAAGTTCTGCGCGTGCTCCAGTTTCTCTGGAATTGCCCTTGTGGGATGTGCGGTGACCCTTCCATTGGTAAGGTGCAGACCTTGCTCCAAACCCTCGTGCCGGGGCCTTTGAGCTTTCTCTGTGTTGGCCTCCGTCTTGAGTGCCTGGATGGAACACGAGCAGAAGAATTAGTTTGCCCCGGGACTGGGAAGTTGATTCATGCAGGGGTCATGGATGACAGTAGCGAGTTTTCAGTCGATTGCGACCGGTAGAGTCTTGGCTCCATTCTTGAGTCAGGATGAGCACTGAATACCTACTTAGGCCTACTTTACAAACTAAGAGAGTGACTACTGCACAAAGCCCTGCATGCTGAAGGCGCGAGTGGGCGGCGGAAGGGCTACAGGAGTCACCTGTAAGCCACGGCTTGAAAGCCATCGCGTTCTCTTCGAACGGAGCTCAAATGCCCCAGCGAGCCGGGTCGAAACCAATCTAGTTTTTGACTGATGGAGTGTCAGGTCCAGGTAATCTCTCGAGCCAACTGAAGCTCAGATTGGGAACCACGCTGCCGCAGGAGCGAAAGGCGTGCTTCGACAAGCTGCTAGGACCGTCCCCCCCCCGGGGGAATAGATGTCGTTCACGGCAATGCCCCACTGCACACATCCTTCTCCAGCTGTTTATTCTGATGTAGAGATGTTGCCGATCTTCCTCGTTTGAATTTGCTATACAAGGGGTTCGACTGAGGTTCATACAGGCCTTTCGGTGCAGGGCTTGGAGGTTTGGACCCTGTGGCAGAGGGTAGCGCAGCTGAGTTTGTCTCGAGAGCTGACTCTGGCACAAGGAAGAAGGTGGCAAAGCGACACTGGCAGTATCATGATCGCATGCCAATGAACAAGTAGGGGCCAAAACAAGGCCAAGGCAATGCCAGTCAGGTTCTCCAACAAGGCAAGATCGCATGCCATTCTGTCAAGCAATGAGCTGATTGCCAGCCTCTTACTACTTGTAGCCGGCCGGCATGATGCAAGCGATAGCAGGAGCTCTCGACAGCCACCTGACCAAGGTTCGTTCTGGGATGCGGGGTTCGCTGAAGTTCCGTTTGCAAAGAATTGCCTCCACTGTTCAGCGGCTTGTGGCTTTTCGTGACGGGTGATCGGGCAGCTTGCAAGCCCCTTTCCCAAGATCTCGTTGCTTAGCTTCTGGCAAGGCGGGTCGCGTGCTGGTCCCGGCGTGCTCCCTAGGCCGCGGGGCTGAAGTGGGACAACTCCAGCCGCCTGAACCATGATGCATACTGCAGATGACGTGGTTCGTTTGTTTTTGTTGATTTGTGCGTGCTTGCCCGGGTGCCTGGGTGCGTGGGTGCGCGGGTGGGTCCATGGGTGCGTGCATGACATACGTTCTTGTTCAATTGTTTGTTACTGTGCGAACGTTGGTATGTGATCATTTTCTCAATTATTACTCATGTCATGACGGCTTGCTTCGGCTGCGAAATTGTGAACAAGTGAACGCCCTCTATTTGGCAGTGCAGCCCATCTCGCAACCATGCTCGCACTTGCTTGCAGCTAGCAGAAAGCTACATCGAATATGTTCTGTTAACACGCCAGCTGCATCGCACTTCAATACCGTTTCAGTATTTTCAAGACTTGTTTGATGCAACTTCTGCAGGTCGCCTGGCCTTCGAGGCACCTCGCAGCTGCTTGCGGTTCTCTTTTTAGCCTGTCAGGTTCAAAGGCAGACGACCGGATTACTACAGTAGAAGGGAGCTGTCCTGATTCAGAGGTCTCGTGCAGGGGGCACAGTGTGGAGGCTTGCGAGAGCACGGGAACCCAGCAAAAAAGCCAGGTGCAGGCTTAGTTTTCCTCGATGTGTTTGTAGCGGTGTAGCTGTTCTGCTGGGTTTGAGGGTTGCGCAGGCAGACACCAAGGTTTTGATTGTGGAGAGGGGCGACGCTCGCAGTGCTTAGGACGTTGCGGCAACTCAAGGAGCAGAGTTAAGGGCAGGTGTTTCAATTTCAGGGTAACCCGGAACAGCTTTTCTTTTTTTTTCTTCAGAGTGGTCACGGCTGTATTGTCAAAGCTCCCAGTTCGGCGACGGCTTCACATTTTGAACTTGGTTTCGTTCCGTTGCTCTCCTCTTCCGGCCTTAGGCCGGCTCTTGCAGTGGTTCGGCATGGAGCTCCTACGGCAAAACGGTCAGGCAGAGGCCAGCTCATGTGCCGTTGTGTGGCGGGCGAAATTGGGAGTTCGCTGCAGCACAAGGGCAGAGCCTGGTCCTAGAATGTCCTAGATTCATGGCAGGTTCTTACTATTACTATGCCTGCATAGTTCTATTGTATGACCAGAGGCATCATTGTGTTTCTGTGAACCAGGGAGACGCGGGCCGTCCCCAAGTGTCTCCATGTCGTGTCCTGCAGTGTGTTTGGATTGAGACCATGGCCTATGGTGGGAAGCCTTCAACGTCACAAGGCCGTTATGGTGCCGCGCGTATTACAGACATGTGCAGTTGGACACGCCACAGTTTCTAGCAAGTCTTTGCATGGAATAAACGAGAACCCACCGAGACCTCGCACGTCGTGGTTGGTGTCATGAGCTCCCTAAATTGAACTGCTGACTTCCCAGAGGCCAACATGCCCCCAAAGACCTCTTACTAGTGAGCCCGGTGAACACCAAGTCGCCAGGACCGCAAGGACCAAGACCTGGTCACGATCCCACACCAATCGGAAGTCCTCCGCAGGTGCTTCGACCACAGCCGTTCGCGCTCAACACCTGCAATCGGACAGGTGCCCAGAAGCTGTCTCCCGGGCTTGAACAAAACCCTGTACTGCCTTGTTGAGGTTCGCATAGGACTTCAGGCCTTGATGAAGCTTTGCAGCAAGGAGCGAACTTCTTGCTGTTCGGAAAAAGCCGCATATCAGATCGTTTGTTCTACCAGCCATTCACTCTCTCACTCATGCGCTCTTTTTCGTCGCTCTCCTTGGGATGGTTTTGTCGTCTCGGATGTTGTCTTTCATGGTGATATTCTTGCTTGCTCGGCGCCCAATGCGATGTACTTTCTATGAAGCGGTCTCATCAGGTATGTCTGTCGGGTGCCACACAATATTCCGACTGTTGAGCGGGAGCACGTACTCAATCAGAGACACCTTTTCAATGGGAGTGAAGTAACCCCTACATCCCCGCAAAGACACAACTGATTCCTTGAGTTTGCGACCTTGGGATGACTGTGCACTATCACAGGGGCTCGGCTTCTTGCATGCACCGAGGCTGAAGTTTTCCGACAATCACAAAGTAACAGCCATGCCGGATGTGACGATCGAGGCGAGACGGGAGATGCTTGAGGGGAGTGTTCCAGATCTGGCAGGCTTGGCATTCTTGACTGTATTTGCTAGCATGCCTCCGTAAGTTCACCGGCACCCTTGTTTTGGTGCACACTTGCTGGTGTCCGTGCACGGTGCGATAGCAGCGCAGCATCTGGCCCAGCCCCAGGAAGGGCGACTACCTCGACAGCATTTTGGCGAGTTCATCACTCTCTACGACAGGTCGAAACGGCCATGAGCAGGCGAGCGCAAAGAGATCAATTTCAAACAGTCACATGCCAGGTCGGATGCCAAAGAAAGCAGGGAGCCCTGGTTCATCCAGTCTGCGCGTGCACCCTCAGAAGCAGTCATCCATCGGTGCGTGGGGGGGGGGGGGGGGGGGGGGGGAAACGGCCATTGCAGCAGATGCATGTAACGCTAGCCGCTAGCTAGCATGTGCCAGTGCTGCTTGGCCCGGTGCGGCCTCTATCCTCCAGGCTTCGACTGCCTCCTGACCTCTTATGCGCTGGACCTGTCTCCCAACGTGTTCCGTGCATGCCCTAGGTTGAAGCTGCAACTCAGACTGATGCATGTTGCTTCGGCCCGGGCACATGGGAATTCCGTAGAAGTATTTAGCCACGAGCCATTACCTTTTCCTGTATGATCGCCAGGTTTTGTGCGCACAGCAGCTCATGTGGTCAGACCTGGTGGTGTGCACCGTGCTCAGACTTTGAAAGCAACTCCCCCACTGAGCAAGGCAGCCGCTCTGTGTTGAATCGTCATCTGGCTCGAAGGCGTTCTTGTCGCTCTCCAGTCCGAAGTGTCGCGCACATGGCGAGAGCAGGGATCCTGGTGAAGCTTCTTGGCGATGTGCTGGGCAATGCTTTAACCGGCCACTACGAAAAAGGAAGGCACGAACCGCGGAGAGGAAGAAGAATTGTTTGGACTGCATCGCAAAACTGCTTGAAGCAGTAGTGGGCCCTGGTGACCTGCTGTCGTCCGACGTGAGAGCCGAGTTTGCTGCCGAAGCCTATGCAGCTTGGGGCTCTTGCAAGGCATGCATCGCCGCTAAGCAGGCAAAGTTGCCACAGAAGGGCAACGACTTTGCGAAGTACAACGAGAACGAGATCGAGCACGACTTCACGACCTCGGGCCCTTTCCGAGCCTTCGCACATGCAATCGTCAATCGTCAGCAGAAGCTTGATGAGGGTTTCTTTCAGGCTTTGGTGGAGCGGCTGAAGCAATTCGTGGGTGACCCGAAGCTGGGAGATGACGACTTCCAGGCCATGGCTATTGAGCTCAACACCATCGCAGCCCTGTGTGCCGGAGTTCGCGCTTTCTGTGCGGCCACCGGTTACGAGGCACCCCCGCTTCCGGCAAAGCCAAACCCTTGCAAGCCTGGCCGCTTCCTGCGGGTCTCGGACTACTCGACAGGCCCCTTGCAAACCAACAGGACCATTGCTTGGGTGCCGACCCTTCCGGCAGCGCAGCTTCGCGCGGATGTGCCCCAGCGCTTCGGCATCGACGCATCCATGTGGGCTTTTGCTGGGGCCAACCCGCACGGCCCGACCTCCAAAGCCAGTGCGGCACCCCTAACATGTTGGGAGTTCCTCAAGTTCATGGATGTAATGTATGTGCCCGTCCAGGATGCCCCGCGATTCCTGAAGGTACCCGGCAAGGATCGCACTCTGAATCGCGGTCAGTTGGAGGTTGCAGCTGCTGACTACACCTCTGGCAAGGCCTGCAACTTCTGATCCCAAGCTCACGCCAGCATGGCTGACGTATCTGAAACCGCACTGCTGGGTGGCCATCACCCGCTGCACAACGAAATTTCGGCCTTGGCCACGGCGGTCGCATCCCCAGAGGACATGGCGAGGATTCGCACAGCACGGGAGGCGCTGCTGGCTGAGAGCAACGAGCATGCTCTCCTTGACACAGCCGGCATCATTGCGTTCTTTGCGACGATTACGATCGTCGTGGACTTCGCAGGGCACTTCTCGCCACATCTGGTGAACGTGCTCAACAAAATGGCAAAGGTGATCTCTAGCGCACGTGTCGCACGCATGACAGTCAGGCGGCTGCTGTGCTGTGGCAGCACGTAGCCAGTCTAGCACATTACGAGCCTCTAGCTAGATGCGAATTCGACAGCATGCCATGTATCGCGAACATGAGAGGATCCTTGCCTCAGACCACGAGTGACGTGGTACGCTTTGTTTTTTAGCAGCGCACTACTGACAGACAGGGTCTTCTGGACTGGAACCGCTAGAGTGAAGCCGCGAAGATTCACAGGATTCCGGTTGTTTTACAGTCTGTTCGTGCAGCAAGTGTCAGGTTGTGTTAGTGGCTATCATCGCTGTTGAATTTTCATGGTAGCTGTTGCCCGTGTCGGCTGGACAGCCAACTCCACTGCCAACCTAAGCAGTAGAATGAGAAGCCTGTGTCTGTGGCATGGGCTTGCCCCCGATACGAGGTGGGCAGTCCATACATGGAAGCCAGGCTGCATGTAAGCTCAGGGTCACTTTGAGTGCACTCTGGCTCTCCGAGCAGTTTTGTGCCTGCACGCGGCCAGGGCTTGCCCCCGAAAGGAGGCGGGCATGTCTACCGTCGTGGAAGGCTCGAGCATGATTCTGCTAAGGAGTGGCGATGATGCTTGTTGGCGTGGCAGCGACGCAGCAAAAGGATATGAATAGCAATGCTTGTGCCGAAGCACTCCTTCGCAGCCCGTGCTCGCTGTACAGATGATGCGTTATGAAGGTCTCAGTCGGAGGGCAAAGATTGCAGGCAGACAAAATTGCGTCGGACCGCCACTTGTTGCATATCGGCCTGTGCTGCACCTATCCTGCGTTGATCATTCTTGTGCCTTGGGAAACCACCGTCAGACCGAGCAGAGTGAACAGCGCTCAGGTGGGCGAATTTTGGCCCTTTGGCTTATGACACCGACCACGACGAGGAGTGGAACTGGGTTCATGCTGCTTAGCAGGACCTGGAGCCTACAGAGAAGAGTTGAACACCATCGTTTTCCGCATAGGCTTCTGGAAGCTCAGAAGAGTGGCTAGCAGTAAGCCGTCCAGAGATGTGCACCCAGCGCAAAGCTCATGGCTCATGCGACTCATGCGTTTGGTCTCTTGGCAGTACCGTTGGAGGCAAGTGCCTGAGACTTGCGCATTCTGCCTGGGCTGGACCGCAGCCAGTTCTCAAGTCAGGCATTATGTACAAGTTATTGCAGCCTGCCGCTGCCTCACAACAGTGGCAGCTAGTCAGTGTCTTGCTTGGGTGCGGCAGAGAGGCGGCAATTTGACCTCCGTCTTTTGCGGCTGCACTGCCTGTAGTCACACATGCTCCAGCAAAACCCGTGATAAAGCTGCTACCTTCAAGGAAGGACGGCGGATCGGAAGCCGGTTTGCAATTCTGTTGAGCCATGCCGCGAGCTCCCGACTACTATGCTTTGCTTGGGGTTGCCAAAACCGCTACAAGCGATGAGATCCGGCGAGCCTACAGCCGCTCGATCTCTAAGAAGGCGTGGGTTTCGAGTGAGTTCTTGTTGGTTTCGTCAGCAAATCCTCGTCGCCCCTCGCCTTCTGAGGGCCGTACATAGGGAATTGGTCGCAATTTCCACTAAGAACAGCAAGCGCTTCGGCACCACCCGGACAAGAACCCGGACAACGTGGCCGAAGCTACTGCCAAGTTCAAGCTCGCCGCCTGGCCGATTTCAGGGCATGCCGGGATTCCGGGCATCAAGGCCAATACGAAGGTGTATCGCATCCAGGGGTGCGGATTTTGTCCTCCGGCACGTCGTTCGGCCTGCTATTTGTCGATGCTGCACTTTGGTGGGCTTTAGTTGGCAGGCTTTTTGTGCATTTCATGCTGCAAGCTTGCGCTTGTTCGGGATGGCCCTCCACGCAGAAGCCGTGTTTCCGGTGATGGAAGCGACTTTTGTCTGTTGCATGTCCGGCGCCCCTGCAAAGGTTTCGGAAGCCTACTCCGTGCTGTGCCACGGCCAAAGCATGTACGAAAGGGTGCGAGGGCATGCAGGGTTGAGGCATGACTCTTTGGACGTTTATTAAGTTGAGGCATCGCCAGCAAGACAAACAACGGCCGGAGGTTTACACGTCAAGTCACTGTCACTAGCGGTCTAAGTCCAGGACGGATTGCTGAAAAGTATTCCTGCAGCTCAGGAACGACCCCGCAAAGCGGGCGGCGTATGATGGAGGCAGCCTCTCAGGTCGGGACTGCTTGTCTATGGGTAGAAGAATCGAAGAAGGGCCCGGGCTCGACTCAAGCAGAGTTCGAAGTGTCAAGCTTTGTGCACAACTGGGTGGGCGAGGCCAACGCAACCAACTTTCGAGTCTCGTAAACTTGTGCTGCTCTTTGTCGGGCATATTCTGCCCTGAGTCCCTGAGTATTGCTTGCCGGATGAGCCCCAACCCCATGTCGTGGGTTGCTTCAGGCGATAGTGGAGCTGAGCCGGCCTTTACAATGTCCATGGCCCAGAACCTCTTCAAAGATGTCTTCGGTGGCTGGCCGGCATCCAGCACTTGCCTTGTGCGCAGCTGTTGGCAGCGCGTCTCTAAGCCTGAGCATTGTGAGATCTGGCTTCTGGGGCTCTTTAGATGCTTGGAGTGTCTGGATTTCCGAGCGGTTGAACAACCGAGTTCGCGACCCGGAGGTGAGGACTTCGCAAACCGGCTTGCCGCTGCTGCCGGCGATGCGAGCATCCCGCCTGGCTCTAGCTGTTGGCTGGGTTCTAGGCTTGCATTCCGTGCAGTCATTTAGCAAATTTAGCCATGGCCTTTTTCGTAACTGGCCCCAGACCTGGGTCTTGAGATAGGACTGCCTCAGGTGGGATCTCTGGTCTTGTTGGTAGCGGGCGGAAAATGTATGTGTCGATCAGTCTCTGTCTCTTGGTGGCGCTGACTAAGTGGTGGAATTCCGTCAGGCATTGCCCAGGTTCTTGCGTCCCGCACGTATTAGGTTCCGCTGTCGCCGACACTATAGACCGCGTCGCCGAAAGCGAGCTCCTTGGCGCCGAGCTTGTGTGGGCTTTGTTCTGATTGCCTAAATTGCTGGCCTGATCAGCGTATTCCCTTCGCCACTGGTAAGGAGGTGCTGGATGACATTGTTCCGGATCAGACCTTGCATTGTGCTTCGTAGTACCGTGCAGGAACTACTGTAGCAAAGTGATGCTTACGTCTTACGTTTCGTGAGAATATCGCGAATCGTGAAATGTTTTTTCTTACAGCAGCCGTTTTCCGTGAACATAGAGTCAGAAGTGCCTTCTCGTTTCGGAGGACCTTCAGAAAGGCCAAAAGCGCCACCGTCCTTGGCCTCCACAAGGCCTCGGCCTCGGCCTCTCGGCTTTTTGGAAGCTCTGAGACCCGGCTTCGCGTGAGCGCAGGTCGGGGAGACGGTCGGTTCCGCGCCGGTGGCCTCGGCCTCGGCTCAGCCCGGAGGTTTCAGGAGACCAAGTAGTCAGTCACTAAACAGGGCACTATAGACCCAATCACATTTTGTTCCCGCCGACAGATGCCTGCGAGGTCCGCAACGCCGTAGCAGCGCACCTGGGTTCGGTCACCGATCACGCGAACTCCCAGGTTGCGGACAAGGAGCTCGGCCGGGCAACAACAAGTTTGGGAACAATCGAATCGAGTGGGATGTCTGTAGACCCTTGATTGAATCAGGTTCCAGTTGTTCTCTTGCTTCGGGCAACTTTGGCGCTCGCAGACAGACTATATGGTGCCTCCCGGGACGAATAGTAGGTAAACTCCTCGCCAGGAGCGCAGCGAAGCGCTGAGCCGCAAAGCTCTTGAGCATTGCCGGGCCAGGCCGGGCAGATATGCCTGAAACGGACAGGCGAGTCCTGAACGCATGGAGAGGTTGTGATATGCTGCGACAGCAGGGTCGCGACGGTCAGCGTGAAAGATTGTCAATTGAAAGACGAGGAGGGTCTAGCAGAAACTTACAACCACACTTAGACGTGATCTGGCCGGATGGCCCGATGATACTGGTCTCTCGGATTGACAGAAACTGAACCGAGGCGTGGGTTGGTTGGTTGCACTTCCGGTTGGCTGGGTTAGAAAGACAGGCCCCTCTCTGAGGCTTCGCCCTCCCCCTTCCGAAGCCTCGTTTAATGTCCTTGAAAGGCTCGAGGAGCACAAGGAGGCAGTGACGAGAACTCAAGGTGCCAGAGAGGGCCGCCAGATGCACCTCGATTTATTTCGGGTTCGAGGACTAGGGTTGAGGGGGTCTTGGGATTTGGTGATGGCTCCTTGCTGGGGATCCGATCAATCAGAACTGAAGGCCACGCTGTTGGATTCATCTTGTGGGGAGATGCTACAATCTCAGGAACTGGTGGGATAACATGTGGGAGCCGCTGGGTCGCAAACAGCCTTTGCCAGACGACTAAATCAATACTCGTGAGGTGCACTTGGCCAAGCTTGCGGGGATGAGGTTTCTACTGAGTTTCTGGCCGGGAGTTTGTTTCTGGCAAAATTGCTTCCTCTTGTTTGCTGCTCCCCCTGCCCCTTTCTTGTAGCCTCCATCTCTTGCATCTTTGTTGCCAGCTCTCTCCGTCTCCGTCTGTCTCTCTCGCTCGCTGTCTCACTGCTACTGTACGACCGTCACGAAAGATGCCTGTCTCCACCCGAAAAGCCGTCAGGTGGGTTCACGGGGAGCAGGCGGCAGCAGATCGCCGATACGACAGGGAGGCGGCCAACGAGCTGCTCGGACTGGTCACCTGCTCTCCGTTTCCATATTGTTGTCACTCGATCATGTCAAATATATGCGAGGCAGGGTTGCACTCGTAGAGCCCACGCAACACAGGCTCGGTATTGAATATACAGAACCATACAGTGTAGTCGGATGGTTGCTACTTACTACTTACTACTACTACTACTACTACTACTACTCCTGCTGCTGCTGCTACTACTACTACTACTACTACTGCTACTTACTACCACTGCCACCTACTACTACCTACTACTACCTACTACTACCTACCACCACCACCACCACCACCACGACGACGACGACGACGACGACGACGATCACTACTACTACCAGTAGTTCTGGTACTAGTACTAGTACTAGTACCAGCACCGGTACTAGTACCAGTACCGGTACCAGCGCTACTACTACCACCACTACCTTGCCTGCCTCGTGGTAGTAGTCACATAGTCACAGGATGTGGTTGGCCATCATCAGCAGCAAACGAAGCAAACCTGATTCAGCGAGATCCGCATGCCGGAAGCAGGTGTGGATCGATCGAACTCAAGTGCTCACGCCGTTCTCCCTTGTTCAGCCAGTCCCAGTCTCAAGCTAAGGACGAAGAAACTGCAGAGCCTTGTCTGGTGAGAGCATGCATGAGTATGTCTGATGTGGGGTGATCTTGAGCTTGAGAGTTTGGCTGTTTGCCGGATTGTTTCACGAGGAAAAGCCACGGAGTCCAAAAGTCGTCAGCCCGACTAGACTTTCTGGGCATCCGCAACGATTAACATCCGGAAGTTTCGAAGGCCCCCATGTAACTTGAAAACTGGACAATACAAACCAAAGGCAGAAAGCAAACCTGGTGTTTTCAACGATGGTGGTGCCGGTGCAGTCGCTCTCTCTACCGGAATACGGGGCTGCCATCAAATAGGACAACGCAAAAGGGCCTCGAACGGTGTGCGGCCTGTCTGACACAGGCGAAGTGACATGATGCATGTGCTGCATGCGCAAGCAGCGAAAGAGAGAGAAAGAACATCGGAGCTGATCCTCTCATTTCGGGCTTGTTTTGCACAGAGGAGCTTGCCTTTCAGACAAGAGAGCGACTCCTTGCTTGCCGCATCCTCAACTGCCACCCACCAAGGACACAGCTTCTTTGGGCCAAGACGGAATGGCACCGTGCAGTCAGCGATCTCGCACAGGTGCCTGGCAAGACTTCAAGTTCTTTTGTGTTCAGACCTCCCGCGAGAAGCCCCAAGACCGAGCCCAGAGACTTGCAGAGGCCCTGGGAACTCTGAAAGCCCTACTCTCAACGACTTTTGACGAGTGTTTGGAGGTTCGGCTGTGTCGCTTGCAACATTTTTTTGTTACTCGCTCCATGCCTTGGACAGCATGTCAGTCGTTCCACGACCCCTACACCCACCAAAAAGTGCAGGAAATCGAAGTATTCTCAGCACTGGCAGGATAAGTCCTCGCGCTGCTGTTGTCGGAATAAGCTCCAGCAGAGGCGCGGCGGAAGGCAATGGAGGCAGAGGAGAAAGAGCTGAATACAATGAAGGATGGCGTGCCCGGGCCTTGGTGCCTTGGTCACTCGGGGTGCTGCAAGGACCCGCAAGTGCTCGCAGATGTGGTCTCACAGGGGTTTTGCTATGCAGCCCGGCCGGAGCATACCAGCACAGGGTGTCGTGTCTCGATGCCTGCGACCGAAAGTTTTCAAAAGCTGGTCATGTAGCAGCATGTAGCAGTCTGTTTCTCCACCGGGCGAAGACCTTGGCTTCGGGGGCTTAGCCCAGGTCGTGGCAGGATGCCGCAGATGCTGGCGCTTTTTTCGTCAACAGCTGCGAGCCCAGACAATGAACATGTAGAGTCGCAGCATCGATCCAGCCTCAGGCCATGCCACCGTGCGATGTTCTCAGGCTTCTTTAGCCGTTCGAGTGCTCCCTCCGGCCATGTTGTGAAAGCGCAGCGGCGGACCTGCAGGCGCGATTTATCAAGTCGAGTCTGGCAGGCTCACATCTCTCAGTCGCTCTCACACGCCCTCTCTCTCTCTCTCTCTCTCTCTCCCTCTTTCTCTGTTTCTCTTAACATATGTTGTGGTCATTGTGGTCTTTCTATTCAAGGATGAACGGCATGATGGGCCTATTATGGGCAGCTCAAAGATGGCATGAGTTGGCCGTACTATCTGCAAGGTGAATTGGCTTGGCCTTTAACAAGCACCCGGCAGGCACGCAGGCAGGGACGAAACGACCCCACAAACGGTTTGTGACCCGGGTGTCGGAAGACTTGTAAGATGTTGGGCCATGGCCTTGCTCTTGCAGCTCTCTCTCATTGCCTCACTCAAGATTCCGGCTGCGAGGAAATGTGACAGCTCGCCAAAGCGTGTACCGCTGGCCACATTCGTGGGAAACGGGATGCTGCCCAAAGGCCCAGTTACAATTGTGAAGCAATGCCCAAATTGAAGTGCTAATTGAATCGATTTTGGTTTGCTGGCTGCACCATGACACTATCATGGAGACTGCGCGATTTTGTACTTTTGGGCCGGAGGAGTCGTGATCCCCAATTCTCTGCAATCGTCCATGCAAGAAAGCTGGCGTTATGTCCCTGCCAGTTGTACAGAAGGGACCATCGTGTCAAGCTCATAGGTGACCTGTTTCACACTTACCGCGCAAAAGACTGGCACCGGTTCTAACTTCAATCTCCAATTGCGTGTGTATATACATGAATGTTACATCACCATCTCTCGCATATGTAGTGATTGCACTGCAAGCATGGAATTATTGTTTAATTGTGACTTTAAGGTGCAGATGTTGGAAAATGTCGCGGAGACGGGTCAAGGTAAAGTTCTGCTCCGACATGGGTGCGGTGGGTTCAGAGTGTCTGGCATGTGTGTGACACATAGCTTCGCAGGCATTGACAGCATGTTACTTGACATTGAGCTAGCCTCACTCACAATGCAGCGCTCGCTGCCAAACTAGACTTAGACCTAGCTTATAGCATCTCAGAAGCTGCTGCGTACTTCAAGTAGGAAGTTCATGTCCACAGGTAGTGTTGGCTCTGTGAGGGATTAGCCAGTCTGCATCTGATCGTGCGAGCTGCGCTCCTAAGCTGCCTTGCTACTGCTAGGGCTAGGAAGCTTCGAAAGCAGTGACCATTTTCGGAGCGCTGCCTAAGATGCCATGAGCCTTCCAGACTACTACACTGTGCTGGGCGTCCAGCGTGATGCGCGACAGGTGCAGATAAAGAAGGCCAGCGCAATTCGTTTCCGAACTTGAGCAGACAATTTCCAGCAACGCTTTACGGGGAGCTGATGCCATCAGTGCTTCGATCTTGCAGCATGAGCCGGTGAATTTGGCAATGTGCAGCAAACATCACCGGAGGATGGCAAGCTTCTGTCACGACATGTCCTTGACAGGCCTACTTTGAGTTGGCCAAGCAGTGTCTCCACTGCAGATAGATATGGTAAACATTTAAGCCGGGAAGCTGTAAAGTGACAGTATGGGGAGTTGCAAACGGCTTCTCATCTCCTTGACGTTGGGTTCGGTCCAGTGCACTTTGAGGCAAGCAGACGGTGTCCAAATTACACAGTGGCCCAGTGCATCAGCCTCTCCTTGATCCTGCTCGGCTTGGACATGTCGCCTTTCAGGATGCATCCCGATCGACACCACGGGACGGACGTGGAGCCGGCGCCCAAGATCACTGTCGCAAGGATTGCTGTGGAAACGTCGGTGTCATGCCTGCATAAAGATCTACGCACCAAACACTAAAGCCTCCCTGTTACATCAGTCTTTGGACCAAGGGAAGGTGCCACCCGTGCCTTCGAGCATCTCCAAAAAGCCTACAGCGCATCTCGGACCATACGGTGCTCATGCAGAACATGCAGGGTTTGGCGTAAGCTGTTGATCCATGTTTGAGTTGAGCACTAGACTAATCGTAGATGTTTTCAGCGGGAGGGGATCGGAGGGGAGGCGAGGGGAGGCCAGCGTGAGAACAAGGAGTTGTAAGTTGTAAGAATGATTGATTTCCTCCTTCACATCCTAGAAACCAGCGAGGTCTTGTCCAATCCGGAGAAGCGCCGCGCTTACGATGCAACGCTCGGGGACAATGGTGAGGGTGCAGCAGCGCAAGCATTTCGAGGCCTTGGAATCCTCGTCTTTGGCGTTTCGCCTCCATCTGTCTGTCTGGTTGCCTCGCTGTCTTAGGTATCTTTGCGTAGAACTCGTACAGTACGCCCGGCCGGTATTCCGGACATCTCTTGAGTCTTGAGGCTTTCCCAGGTTGACTTTGAAAGAAACTTCGCCAAAGCTTCGGGTCTAAGTTCTTCAAGGCTGTCGCCCTTGTAGATGCCTGGGCCTCACGAGATCCTTGAGACACCCTTTGCAAGGATCTGAAGGTATGGGGCAAGCGACCTGATAGATGGACACCAAGACTTCCTGTCGATTTGTTGGTGCTGTACTTGTGCCGACTCTTGTGGAGTAGGAGGCAAAAGGTCAGATCTGGTCGGCCCGCATGCGGTCCATATGCGTGCTTGGGGACATTTGGGGGCGTACAACGTGAGCGAATCAATTCGGTCGCAGGCCAGGGGACGGGTCCTCTGGGTGGACCCTCGTGGCTGCACCGAGCGGAAGATCGAAAGAGGCCCGGGAAAGTTTGGACCCGCAGAGTCTTAGCGAGGTTCAAGGTGTCAACCCGTGATGCCTGTAGTAGGCCGTGGCATCCCATAGGAGAAGGCGCAGGCATCAATGCATTCAACGCCAATCCTTGCGACTTCCGGGCCTCTGAATGTGCAGAGTCACGCAGTCGCTGGTAGACCGGATTCAGCTGAGGTCGTTCGTGACCTTCGTAGATTTGTGGAACTCTTGCATCTTTACCCTTTAACTTTCGTGGGAAACGAGCCATGCCCAACCCAACTGCACAAATCCATAGTTCTATAGATAGGCACTTCCAGAAAGGAAGCAGCGCCCCATCCATAGGTTCTTTAGTTCAGCTTGAAGCTGAAGATAGAGACCTGCAGTCGAGGACCCCTGAGACTGGCACAGTAGGTCTCGGGCTCCAGGCGGGAACTGCTCGAAGAGACCGATTCGGCTCACCAACCCGTAGGTCGCACATGCCAAATCATAAACCAAGCTGTGATCCCCGAGGCCGTGGTATTCCCAGCTCGCTTTCAGGACCTTCCTGGGAGCTGAATCCAAGGTTTATCCAGCTCGTGTCGAGCAGATGTTCAGAGGGCCGTCTTCTGTCTGGATTCCGGATGCAAGACAGTGAGACGTCTTGGCTTTCGCTAGCTGGGATCGGCTGCTGCAACTGTTTCATAGTAATGCAATTGCAAGACATAGGCACGCCACGCCATTTGCGGTTTCTTGTGGAAGGAGGTTGTGGTACCGGGCGTCCAAAACTGTGGGCGGCAGGCAAGACAGAGCATCGTGCTTTCAGGATTTTCTTGGGCGTATGTTCATTGAGGGCGGTTGTATTGAAGGCTCCACTCCGCTTCGACATAGTTATATTCTGGTCTAGCCGCAATTCGAAACGTTGTGCCGTGCCGATCCACCTCCGACTCCTTTCGCAAAGCCGAGCATTCCCATTGCACCGTGAAGGCTACTCCAACGAGTTGTGATGTTTTGAACGCTGACTCCATGGGTCATATCTCTCAAAACGAGATCCGCAGTTGTCAATATCTGGTGCTTTTCGTGCTTCTGGATTACCCCAAGAGCGAACATGCAGGAAGCTGTAACCTCAGTGTTCTGAAACACCCGTGGGTGCTGCACAGCATGGCGTAATGCCCCGTGGTTATGCGCAGCAGTACTGAAAAGATCTGCGCTCTTTGCTAGGCCATCCTTCTTGGGCCCCGTTCTCTTTGTCGCGGGTGTTTTCACCCTCTTCCGCGGCATACCACTTGGTGTCATGCGCCTTGGTCCGCGTGTCATGTGTTCTCTCGATTTAGAGGCATCAGAGTCGAGACTTGACACTTGGACAGGAGGTAACCGTAACTGTTCGTTGTCTGAGCAACATCGGAAGCGTCGGGTCAGGCATCTTTTTGCTAGCATGTCCTGGCTGCCCGTGTGGCCATGAACATCAAGGTATATGCTGGACGACAAAGACAGAGTTGCGGTGCTGAGCCCACCTCCCGTGAAGCGCCATTGAAATTAGCCAGGCTGTGAACTTTTTCTGACATCATCTGTCACCTGACAGCCACATGAATGTGCTTCCTGTCGATGTCAAAGTTGTCGCAAGACTCTTCGCACGGGGCGCTTGCCAAAGAAGCGTAGTCGCTTTGTACATAGCAGGTAGAGCGGCCAGACGGCCCTGGGCGTAGCTGTGTTGATTCAGATCAGAATCGTTAGTTAGTTTCTTTGTGAAGTGATGGTCAAAAGCTCCGTTGCATGCCTGCTGGTTCTGTGCAGCCACTCTACCTCTGGCTGGACAGCTTGTCAAGGCTGGCAGGCCCAAACACCCGAAGGGCCGGAGGAGTTAATAGGTGCTTTGGGCGCATCAGATTTGGGGGGCCTGTGCCCGCATTCCGTGTTTCACGTTGTGGAGACATCTGCGAGAGGCAGTTGTCAAAACTGTTGGCTCCACAAGCGAGAATTCTAATCCTTAACATTCCCTGATCGAGAACTTAATTTGTTCAAACTTCAAGCTCTGCTGCTCAAACACGCTCAAGGCCGAATTGAAAGGTGTGAACCGCAAACCTAGCTTCGCAAGCCCGGAACACCAACTCTAACGGAACTAAAGCGGCAAGCTTGCAGCATTTCGCAGCCTGTTGCAGTGTGCGTGTCTGCATGGAATATCCCCGATTCAACCAATCGCTCTGGCTGTCAGGCAGCCGGGCACGGCTTGGAACTCAGCTGGGAGGACTGCTGTTCCGATGCAGTGGCTTCAGTGAAGGTTCTCCAAGTGGCCACCGCAGGCAACCGCGGCAGTGGATAATGATCCAGTGCCTGCGCATCACGGTTCAAACGTCATACAGCTAGATGTTTGGAACCCAAAGGCTCCATGTCACAGAACTGTGAGAGCTTAAACATTCGTCCTTGACTTTCTCGGAACCCCCCTCCTGCCTGCGCTAGACTCCTAACGCTTGGAGAGTGGAGAAGTGGAGAGCAGGAGCTCAAGTTTGCGCTGAGTCATTTCTTCGAGGTGCAGGCCGGGTGGGGGGGGGCCTGAAAGAGAGGCATCTGTTTTGCCCAGCAAAGACCTGTGACAAACTGCCACTACACCCCCGCCTGCAATGGAGACAGAAGGACTTCTTCTTGGGGCTCAATCAAACAAGGCCTTTGAGCAGGGACAGTGGTTCAAGCACCTGCAACAAGACTTTTGTGAAGACCACAAGTTTTCGCAAGCCACCGAAAGCATGCCTCAGTCTTTGCGTTCCAGGGCACACAGCCAGGGACGTGCGAATGTTCTGAAACCACACTAGCGGACGAGCAGCACACTAGCATCTTTTTTTATAATGAAATCGGTGCTGCCTTGAAGTCGGGGCTCCCAAGCTCTCTTCGCCTGGGAAGCGATGCTCAACATACTGGGAAACAAACAAAGTCGATCAATTCAAAACGACGACCGGGACAAACTAAGGAGAAATGTGGACACGGGGGGGATATGGAGAGGCACGTCTTGCTTCCTCCTACTGAGGATGACATATGTCCCAGCAGAGAAGGCTCCATGGAGGCAATGGTGACGAATCGAAGAAATTGTGCGAGACAAAGGAGCAATGTGAACACTAAAACAGGAGCCCGAAAGGCAAACCTCGGAACATTTCAGCACTGCACCTGATAAGCGTTATCATCAACATTCATGATGCGCTATTCTCTTCATCCTCACCTTGCAAGTGCTACTACTGTTTCCTACGGGGAAGGTTTTGTGCAGCTGGCTCAGGAAGATGAGTGGATCGATGCTCTGCATGTCCGGATGCCCTGACTCCGTTTTGGTCTGGGCAGAGGTCAATAGCTGAGGTTGCGGCTTGCAGTCAAGTTCCTGTGTCGTTGAGGCACAGAACGGGGAGTCCCTGATGCAGATGCAGTCGGCTTCCCAGAAATGGTTCCTGATTGCGGCGCTTGGTCTAGCTGAACAGCTCCAACATTTTGCCATCACGGAGTGTGCCGAAGCAAAGACATTCTTTATTCAGCGTGCATGCGGCAAAGAGAATGTAAAGTTGCGGAGAATTGGAGGTACACGTGCATCTACTTCAAGGCCACGCGGAACACGACCCCTGTCCCCGGCATCGGCAAGCCAGACTCTCAGCAAAGCACAGATGCTGGTGTACACAGTTCACACTTGCCGGGCTGACTCGATGAAAAGCACTGACCAGGTGAGGCAAGCCGCGTTGCTTGATTGGCACCCACGGTCTCACCTGCAAGCAAGGCAGCAGTAGACAAGCTCAAGGGCTGAGTCTGGGTCTTGAAGGGCTGCCAGATGCCCGGTCCAAGATGAATCTGAAGCCATTTGCTTCCGAAATCCCAGCGAGATGCGGCTCTAGAGTGGCTCAGGTTCTCGTTGTTTGTTCTTCGATGTACATTAGCTTTTGCTGGTTTCGGATTGGGTAACTTTTCCGCATCAGAAGCAAGTCATGGCAGTCCATGGTGGTAAGTCACCGGCGATGGAAAAGCTGCGCTCTTGTCTCTCGCTTCGCTCCTCTTGCAAGCAAGTTTGAGCAGTTCCAGAACACGGGTGAATTGATGGCTGTCGGGATCGTGTAGTCATTTGTTTTCGAGACAGTAGCAACTTGTTTGCAGCGTTTTTCAGGGAGGTGCTGATCAGATTTTGGGATGTGTAGAGATGTGTAGAGCCACCAGAGACTCATGCAGCCGAGACAAGCAAAGCCTACAAGACTGGGCATGCCTTTGTCATCATATCTGCCACACATCACGCAGGCCGCTCCACGCAAGGGGTTTGGGCGCTAAAGTCGAATTGTGATAAAAGCCGGGTCTCAAAGCGAGTTTGCCACCAACGTTCGTCAAGACTGGCTTGTGGCAGCGAGCCGGATTTTGCCGCGAGGTGTTACTTGGCAAATCTTGTGCTGTCATGAAAGCTAGTGAGCAGCTCGGTACGCCCAATTTCGTTCATTCCAGCAACTGTTTTTTCGAGCCCGGGAGACCAAGCCAGAGGGCCGGGGAGATCCTTGCCAAAGAAGTCTTGTGAGAGTCGTAGGTCGTATGCACCAAACCCCCAAATGCCCTGCCCTCGCCTGGTTTGTCGAGTTGTGAGAGCGCAAGTGCGCGCCCCCTCATCGCTGAACGCGAGACATGCATCACCGCACTGCGCGGCTTTGTGAGGCGCACGGTGCAGTCGAAGAATGCCAGGGTCATAAGTACGATTGTCATGTCTGCGGGAGTTTGGGCCCAGAGCTGCAGTTAGACGAGGAGCCGGTGTGCCCTGAGCCATGCAGCAGCGGTTGGCTTTAACGTTCTTTGCGTTGCGCTCAGAACATCGGTTCTGGAGTGAGGAATCCGACTGCGCTTGTACTCCTGGTCGAGTTACCTGCCGATGGCTGGTCCAACTGTTGGGCCTCCGATTATGGGGGCTGGATGTTCAAGATGATACTAGTATGTGCAATTTGATGTTCTTGCACATTTATCTCGTGCTCTAGGTAGGTCGCTGCAAAAACAAAACTTCAACCATTCTCAGCCCAGAAGCCCGTTTCACCACTGGGCTTGATATGCGGTGCTCCTGGAATCGACGCCTTGCATGTTGGCCTGGGGTCCTGGAAGCTTTTGCATACAGGTTCTTATTGCAGTGGGCTCCTATAGTGGAGTATATACCTCGTAAGCCCTAAATGAACCTTAATTGGCAGCCATTGGCAGAAGCGAATCAGTGCTTTCGTGGCTTCCGAAATGAGCTGGAGGTGTGTGCAGCGGCAAAGTGGCCCTTGCGCGGGCAGCCGAAGCATGTACCTTTCCTGAGCCTTTATAAAGCTGCATGTTTTCTTGACTGCTCTGGATTTCCTTGTGGCCTGTGGCCCGTGATTCTACAGTGCTGACAATGCTTTTTTTTGATCCTGCGCCGTGCATACTTGCAGGCGCGGTTAACTTACGGAGCAATTGATTGGTGAGTTCCAGTATCGACGGTTTAGCTCAGGTGGATGCGGTCCCGGCCTCTTTCGATTGCGAGATGCGCAAACTGGCCTATGAGTATGGGAAGAAGCTACTAGTCACCAAACCTGTTTGGAGCATTTCGGAGTTAGCCCTGTTCGGTTAGAGCTCTTTCCTGCGTGGGTTGACAACGATTTTTCTCGACTCTCTTGAAGAATCAAGCTCCCTTTTCAATCGGCCAAGGCCCAATGCTGCCTGCTGTGTGCGTGGGTGGGGACATTTCATCAGAGCTGATCTTTGGATAAGTACCTTGTCGATCCTTGTCGCATCGGCAATTCGCAAAGTTTTTGCAGAGGGCAAGCGGTCAGGCCGACTTCATGCTAGGATTCGGGGGCCTCTAGCAATTCATTTATGAAACACTATGCCCTGCAGTATGAACCCCGGGTCCTGGAGTAAAAGAGCTCGAAACCTGCGCTACTCAGAGTCCTGGAATCAGTTTACAGAATCCACGGCAGACCCCAGAACCTCAGAGGCTTATTCCGCGGATGGGCGCTTTTGAGCCTTGTCACGAGAAGCTTTCTCGGAGTCTATTGTTCGTTTTTGGCAGTCCCAGTCAGTATTGATGCTGGTATGCTGGGATTCCGGAGGATGATCGGCCTTGGGTGTTACAACAAACATCTTGCCGTGCATGAGCGCTTGCATAGGAGTGAATGCTTCAAAGGTGCTTGTTGCCGGGATCTCAATTGGATGTTACACCCCCCGCTTGTGCACGCAGGTGAAGCTGTTTTATGTGGGGCCCTGCAGCCTTCTCTTCGGAAGATTAGAGAGAAAGACCGTAATCGAAGCAGGATGTCGGTACCCGCTAGAGCCTTGTAGCTTTCAACTTAAAAGGCAGCATTGTAGCTCTGCCAGGAGAGCCTGTACTATGCGCTGGACCTGGACAGTGCCGACTGCCACGTTGCCTCTACAGGCCCTTTCGTGGATAGGAATTCAACGGGCTTTGCTTTGTAGTGTGAGCCGCTGCCAGGCAAGCCTTTCGCCGGCCCCGGGGCAAAGCTGCCCACGAAGGCTGTCTTCGTCGCGGTCGATGGGAGGTCGTCGCCTTACTGTGATTCCAACTCTCAGCTGCCTTGTTCGTGTGAACGGTCCCACTCGGCCGCCGCAGGGATGATGGAGATGGGACTGAGGGCCAGCCATTGAAGTCCCTCCAGGCAGGTATCCTGAGATGTCTAGGGGTGAAGTAGCCGGCAGCTGCTTTTTCGGAGTGGTTCCTTTGGCATGACCTTTGTCAGCCTGTGGTGTTCACTGAGTCTGAGTTGTGATCGCCATTTTGGGGAGCACCTGGGGCTCAACAGCCAGCTCTCAAAGCTCCGGTCCGACAAGGAAAGAACGGGACCCCAAACTTCGCCATTGTCCGAAGGTGGCTGCCGATGCGGCAGCTCAACGAGGCTGGCAGACGCTACACGGTCCCGCTGCACGATCCGACCTTGTATTCAACAATTCGAAAGACATCTGCAACCGAATTTAAATTTTCCGAGTAGGTTCCAGACAGCGGCCGGTGTCAGGTGCCGCGTTAGTGCTGCGGGCGGGCACACACTTTCTGGTGCCTTGCCTTAATTCCAACAGCTTCAGCGACTGAACACTGCTTAGCGGGATAAACTCAGACGCGCGTTCGTGGGACAGTGCAAAACGACTTCCGACTCACTGCTATCTAAGGACAAGACACTGCACCTTTCCCCGTTGCACTCAGGGCCGCTCCGGCTCAATCGGAAGTTCCAGTTTGATGTCAAGAACAGTAGGTTCTTCTGGGTTGAGGATGTCGTCAAGTCGGGGGCCGCGGTTAGCCGTTTAGTTACTGTAGTAGACAGTTGACATCTTCTGTGGGGACTCTAGCGTTGCCAGGCTCGTCATGATGGCCTATCCTGGCGAGCGGGTCGAAATTTCTGGAGGGCAGAAAGTGCAGGCAGCAAGATCGGTTTCCGGGATCTGCTGGGACATCTGAAACTCGAACTCTTTCCGTTGTCATTCGTTTCGCTCATGCACAAAAGTGTCTTTTGCCGCCAGGTGTCTTGGAAGCCCTACAATGTGAGTGGCGCCAATATCTGGGTCACCGATGCAGCCGGATGGGAGGAGATGCCAGCTCTCCACATCAATGGTGCCCGCGCAACACGCGCAAGGTATCCAAACATGCCGCACGGCATCGAGTCTTCGTGTGGGTATGGCTGCATGATAGATGGAGGAAAGGGCAAGTGGACACCGCCAGATTTTCAGAAGTACGGCAATGTTTCCTTTTACACTGACAAGACATCCCAGCACTACAGGAATACAACACACGATTGGTTCAATGAGTACATGATCGGCGTAGGTGGCCTGTGCAGTGTCTACGACCCACCTGTCTCCTATTGGTGCTCAGAAAACCCTTCAGGCGGTGGTGCGTTTGCCTTCCGAACACCCTCGGGATTGAGCTTTGAGTTTCCCAATGGGCCCTACAAGCATGCGGAGGATGCACGCTTGTTCGTGTGGCGTCCGAACAGGTGGGCCAACTGGATGTTTGATGTAGCTAAGTACGAGGCCACTACTCAGAACTTCACCTTCGGCCGCGGGGGAAACCAGGGTGCCCGAGGGGAGAATACCGGCGGTGACTTCTTCATTGAGAATGTTATGGAGGAGCTGGACTACCCTGGAGAGTTTTTCTTCGACAAGCACGCGGAGAAGCTCTACCTGTATTACAACGGCACTGGCGCTCCGCCTGCTGATGCCTCCTACGTGGTGCCGCGGGTACAGGTTTTGGTAAACCTCACTGGCACCCAATGGAGCCTAGGTGTGTTGTCAGCGTTCTCGTTAGCCTCGTGTAGTTGCGGGTAAGTAGACTAGCTTGGACTGGGCGGCAAGAACAGCTGAGGAACCCTGTGAAAAACATCAAGGTGCAGGGCATCCACTTCAGCGCTTCGGCGCCTACATACATGATGCCCCATGGAGTGCCTTCTGCAGGCGACTGGGCACTGGACCGCTACTCTGCTGTCTTCCTGCAAGGCACACAGGGGACGCTTATCGACGGCTGTGTCTTTGATCGACTAGAAGGCAATGCGGTCATGGTTTCGGGCTACAACCGTGACGCCACGATTCAAAACAGTGACTTCTCGTACCTGGGAGGGAATGCTGTGGCAGCTTGGGGGTGCCTCGACTGTTGATGATGGCTCAGCATCGCCGGTATTCGTCAACCTGGGTTCCCTTCATCGCCAACCCCAACGAGCGTGAACCCTCAAGAATAGGTTGACTCACAAATTGATTCTCGAAGCTGTCATACGTGCACCGCTGTATCGCAGAGATCCCTGCCGCAGCCCAGGTACACTAACGAAACCCGGACAGACAGGGGGAGACCGGGCATCATCCTTGCAAATGCACCGGCGGCTGGTGTGGACGGCACGGACCGGGATATGTCAATGTCGGCCGTAGGGAGGGTCTCGGTGAAAGCCCAAATGGACATCGGTATTGCAAGAGCCAGGTTTGGCAGTGTCCATTGCATTGCTGAAGACATGTGCGATACCTGTCCGAAGCCTCGGGAGGTGTCGACTCGATTCGGAAGAACTAGAGCAGCCCCGCAGTCCCAACAGCGTGTGTGAGGTGCACGTGTCAACGGTACCAGTGGCGTTTTGGGAAAGCCCATCCTTGCTCGTGCAGAGGACGGCGAGCATCCGCTTCGTACCACAGTGCAGAACTGCACGGCACGTCGCTTTGCTGCGGTGGAAAGCCAACTAGTGTGTAGACAGACGTTCGGGATTTGGGACATTGCGGTTCAGAGTATAACAAATACCAGGGACAGTCTAGAGAAACGGAAGTGTCGAACATGACAGGCCAATACTAATAAGCCGGCCAAACTTCCGAACCACCGAAGCTGAGGGCGCTTTGGTTTCGAGGTGGTACTGTACCTGTCAGGTCGATCATGTTTGCAACTTTGGCCCCCGATAACACAGGATCCCAAGTGCGATGGTTGACATGCATAAGATTCGTAAGTGCCCTGGCATATTCGTGCCACTTGTTTGCACTGTCTTCTGTTCTTGTCTCTGTCTGTCTGTGTGTCTGTCTGTTTGTCTCCCGGTTCTTTTCTTCTGTCGTGAATACACGCAAGAGGAGGTGCTATGAGCTTCCGGTTCTACATCTCAGCTTTGCAAGCCAGCAAATGCAAGCCACAGCCAATGACCAGACATGCCTCGTATTCATGCGACGTGGTTGTGGTATGTGCACATACATCCAGGGTGGTATGTGCCAATGTGCCTGTGTGTGCCTGTATGTCTGTACGTAAGTAGACTTGCTGCTCTTTAGGTATGTGCATGTGCATGCATGCATGCATGCATGCATGCATGCATGCATGCATGCACGCAAGCACTCACATTGAGCATGCATGTATCTATGTATGTATGGATGGATGTATGTATGCAATGTATGGATGTATGTATGTATGCATGTACCTATGTCAATATGTGTATGTACGTATGTAGGTAGGTAGGTAGGTAGGTAGGTGTGTAGGTGTGTAGGTATGTAAGTTTAAACGATGTATGTATGTATGTATGTATGTAAGTAAGTAAGTATGTATGTATATATGTATGTATGTATGTATACACTGGGGGTGTATCGACGGATGGATGGATATCGACATGGATAGGGTATTGATATGTGTATGCCGCATGCGTATGTGCATTGTAACGTAGTGTGTTGTCCGTAATGTGTATTAAGTACAATGTAGCGCGCATGTGTATGTATTGTATGATATTGTATGTGCGTGTGTATGTGCATGCCCACATACTTGCGTGTAGATGTACATGATGTCTATTTCTAAGTCCATGCTTGTGCATAGGCATTTCGGTTTACATGCATCTGTATGTGTATCTGTGTGTCCGTGGAAGCGCCAGGAATCTTGTACGTTTCAATACCTGATCCCTGTAGGCGAGATCGGCCTCTACGAGACGCTTTACTGTGCAATTCTGCGGGATGCAGTTTTTTTGTTTGGGGGTTTGGGGCTTGGTAACAAATCTCGTTCCGCCCCGCGGCCTGCCAGTAACTTGCCGATGCGGGGTCTCTTGCTCGTGCTGTCGGAGTTGCGCAGCTGGTGCAGCGCATCAAGCAGCAAGCATTTTTCTACATGTCGTTCAAAGAAGAGTCGCCGCCTGACGAAGGAAGCAATCCAGCTTCTTCGTGCAGGCCAAAACTGCTCAGCCGAAGCCCGAGAAACAAGATGGTCGAAGAGTCGAATAGTTCATGGGGATAGATATTGCTTGAGTTTGGGTCGTTCTGCAGTGGACCGCCGAGTTTCTCCCCACCGTCAAGAACCCAAGGCTCCATCCAGGAACCTGTGTCTTTTTGAAACCTTCACTGTTCTTACTGCGCTTGTCTCTTGTCTTTGTAGCTGCTCTTCGGGCTCTTCCGTATGCAAGAGGCCGCATAAGAGGTTGAAGACTTTGACTCCCAGCACCAGGTCAAGGGTGCTTTCGAATGTCTTCTTCAACGGCCCTCGCGCCGGCATCAACATGAACGACGGCTCCTGGGCTCATGGCAATGCATTAGACGAAGGCAAAGACTTCTGTCGTTGAGCCGAAGAAAACCTCACGATCCTAAAGTCCTAAGACTTGTGCCTGGCCAAGGTTTCGGCGGAGGGGATGAGATTGCCTTCAACCTGGTGCATCGGCCCATTTCAAGGGAATTGCTCACTCTTTCGACAGCGGTATAGTCAGCAGAAGCCAGAATTCCCCTAGACTCGCGAAATCGTTTGTCATGAACAGGCGTCCGTAGACAGCTTGGGCTGCCCTCAGAAGCAGGTAGCGGCACATCTACGTCCGCGTGATGTATTACAGTGCCATTTTTGTGTTCAGCCAAAGCCTCGGAGGCAGCCTTCTTCTAGATCGAACTTGTAAGTCACACACCTCAAGCCTCAAATCAATGCGACTTCAGACAAATGTCGAATCCTTGCTGCAACGGGTAGCAGACTACTAGTAGCCAAGAAAGAGATGTTGGCTAGGCCATCGACCAAGCAGCGACTCAAGAGGTTTCCTATGTGCCAAAAATACGGAAGCTGGAAGCAACCATAGCCCTGGCGGGAACAGGTGTTCTCCACTTGTCGCGAGAGCGGTGACCATGGCCCCTTCAACTCCTGGGATCGACAGCCCTTCCTGACCACAGTGCGAACGGGAGAGTTTCGGCGGACATTTTGCTTATGGGGGGATTGATACTTTCAATCGGTGTTGTAAAGTCTTTAGAGCATGAGTGCTTGATTTTTCTGCTCGATAGCATGAGGAGTTCTCAAGGTAAAGCATGGTAAAGCAAAGGCAAATAAGTTTCAGAGTGGTCGAGAGCGAGGTGTACTGACATATTTGGATGTTGACATATGAACTGAGTGGTTACCATACCAATATCTTTGTACATTCATACATAACTTTGTTATATCATATTAACATGTCAATTTTCGAGTTTATCAGTATATTCAGTACGGGTTTGAAATATGATACGAGTGTAAAGTATGAATGTATCACTATATTCCAAGATATCAATGTATCACCGTATCCATATATTGATATATGAACTGTATTCCTTGATTCATTACATGATACTACATGAAAGCAAGAAGAACGCACCCATGCCCACGAGCGCGCACACACGCACGCACACGCACAGGCACCCGCACGCGCACACGCGCACGCACGCACGAGCACGCACACACGCACAGAGACAGACAGACAGGCAGGCAGGCAGGCAGGCAGGCAGGCAGACAGACAGGCAGAGACAGACAGACAGACGCGGACACAGACAGA